GCGAATGACCCGGATGGTGTAGTGGTGAAGTGCGCTGCTCCCCGGTAAGGACAACAGCGCGTTTTCGTTCTCCATTGCATACACCTGTGGTCCGGAGTTTTGCAAATATCTCAGCATTTCATACGAGTTATATTTCGGCAATTGTCTTGCAGACTGTGAGAATTTAACACCGCGATCCAGAGAGGGCGAGTGTAGCGTAGTGGTCGGAGGCGCTCTGCAATAGACATGGCATTGATCCCTGTGTCTCAGGCTCACCAAGCCTTCCATCCCTCCGGGGTTGGCAAATTGCTACCAGATTTGTCTGAGAGGTTAGCAACACTGGCTCGATACATCGGTAAGCCGCCATGAGTCATTATAAAGGTCGCCTCCAACGATGTTTAATGAAGCCGAATGCATGACGCATCGCTCAAGGATTGTTCAACGCCGAGAGCTTTATCCTTTAATCCTTTATACCGAGATTCCAGGGAAAGCTATGGCGGGCCAGCTTTCAGAGTGTCACTGAAAACTGAATGCAACATGTTCACAAGTTGTAACCGAATTCCAATGGAAGAAATGTTCGGAGCCACACATAGCGTGAATGACGGCCGTCTAACTCAAACAAGTAAATGTAGTAGCGTAGGATTCTCCAAGAATGAAGACGAATGACTGTCATTGTAGGCATTTGTTTACATGAATCCGTTTTTCCTGTTGAGTTTTTGACTTTTTCATAGTATGTAGAATTTTTTCCTAAGTATTCCGCTATGTCAAGCTATTTGTTTAGCAAAACGAGCAAGCGATGCTCTTCGCAAAACTCGTCACGGAGAGTGACGATTTTGAACTCTTCGTCCCACAACATCTCGGTCTTGTTTGTTTCCGAATAAAAGGCGTAAGTAATTATTGAAAATTCACGACTTGTTTCTCTCTATATCTAATTTATTATCGACCACATGGGGACGTATCAAAACTTTTAGGTAACTAATATATTGACTTATTTGTAAGCTTATACATAGTTCACACGATTTTTCAAATTATCACCAACGTTTCGGGGCCATGGTCTTCTTCAGACGCCACATTCTCTCTACTAGATGTAAATTCGAAGACCCTTGTCACAAACGTAAACATCTATAGTGATTTCACTCAAACGACTGGTACTCTCAAGAAGGCAGTGGTACCGAAACCTTAACCACAATAAAACTTTGTGAAGACCTAGTGCAAACATTTCAAAAGACAAAGATATTGATTATGATGGAAAGGATTAATAAGACCTCGTTATAAAGATAGTAACGTAATATCGATGAATTTTAGAGTGCTAATGAAGAAAATGAGGCACTATGTGCCGCTATCAATGATGATCGTCGTATTCATCTCGTACCATCAAAGGTAGGGTATGCCAGTTTAAGAATTTGTTGACTGGTTAGAAACGTTCATCCATGATCACCTTCATGGAGAATATATAAAAATAACTCGCTACGGCGTAAAACGATGAAGGTTAATCCAGCCGCCGTTGAAAACCGGAAGAAAACAAGGTAACACGCCCATTTCACAATGAGCAAGGTGTATTGAGACTTGTGATAGCGGTACAGTAGTAGTGAAAATGAAACCGCGTGCAAAATAACCTGTACTCATAATGCTTCTATTAACATATAACACCTGCGTGGTCTTCTGTGCCTCTGTCGCCTGGTGTGCTGGTTTTTCGAAAACGAAAAGTTGATAGTTTCTCGATAAAATGGAGGACTTGTGGGCTTTTCAACACCACAGAATTGTAGCATGGTTTTCTTCGTCGCTCTATGGATATGGATGGCATGTATGGTGCTATTTACTATATGTTACTACGACTCATTATACAAACACGATACTGTTAGCACTTGGAATAGTTTTGCAGCTTATGTCGTGTCTGTTTCGATAAACTTTACATCCGCACCTTCTATGACTTCTTATAACGACTAGAATTCTGACAACAGTCAACGCTTCCCAAATTGCCACTCAGTGAACTCGGTTTGACAAAATGTTTTTTGCATACGTGTAAAGGCCACATAGAGTTTTTTCGGAACGATGCTCGCCACACGTGTTGAATAAGCTATCAGTCGATTATAGAAAATGTGGGAAAAGGCTTCTGTAAGCCAAAATAGACTTCTAGTAAGAAAGTGACCCATCCATAGTTAATAGAGGAAATTCGGGGTGCTGTTTATGATTTTGTGGAATGCACAATGCACTTTGTGTTAATGTGCACCCCAGCATAGGAACGCTATTGAAGAGCAATGGTGTATGAGTCTTAGTACATTTACGACAATGCCCCGTCTTTTCGCCACTTGTGATGTGGATTGAAATCAATGAGCAGCATCACGAAAGGTGAGTAACAAGGATAAAAGCCTTTTGTTTTAGGTTCATGACAAGTTCTTCCTTCGTTTTGTTGTATGCAGTCAACTCAGCACTGATGACGACATTCGTTTCGCGTTTGACGTATGCAAAGAGGTTTTGGTAAAGATTAGAAACGGTGTTTGAGAGAAAGAATGAAGCAATGCGATTTGTATTTATTCTTATCTCTTTGCTGTAGATTTGAACGAACAGTGTTCTTCGTTTATGTGCGTTCTAGCGCCATGTGCTTTTGAAGACCTGCTAGATTTTAATTGTTAAAGATGAAATAAGCTTTATAAGTTCTTCCCTAAAAATCCAGACCATACGAATTATGAATAGGTGCATATTTTTAGCTAACTGTCTATTGTTAAGTAAACATCCCAACATCCAGAACACTTCCTCTTCATATATCACCTGTTTCAACACCGTTGCTTCCACTAATCGAATGGTTATCTATGCTTATCCTTACGTGCTGAGTGAATTGTGTTCGTTCGAACGGTCTGAGAGCATCACATTATTTGTTCACTGTCTTCCTGAAGAAAGCCGCCTATAGGGTGGGTGCGTGTAGCACGGTAGTAAGACGTACAATACACAATGGTTCGATCGCGCTCCTAAGGTTAACTAAGCCTTTCATCCCTCCGGAGAAGGCAAATTGGTACCAGACCTGTCTGGGATTGACCAACGCCGAGAGGTTTATCCTCTAATTTCTCACATCTGACCAAACTAAATCCTCCAAAAAGAACCCTTTCCTAATGGTTGCCGTTAGGATGTACCATGTGTTCAGCTCATCGGATATCCTACGTTATCGCATAGCGACAGCGTGCGTGCCTGAATTTTTAACGTTACCGTCGAAACTTTGGATCTCTTCTTACTGTATGATAAGAGATACCAATATCATAATCATTCTCATAGCACGTACGATAGCATACAGCGTAGGCCTTACCTGTGTTCAAGCACCATTGGAACAACAATCCTTCTCGCATCTCTTCAACGAAATTTAGCGAGCACCTATTCTCAAGAATCAGTCCGATGATGCTGTACTTGATCTTTACCGCCTTCATCACCTTATTCCTAGGACTAGCTTTCGATGAATCCTTATTGATGTTGCAAGAAGAAAACGTAACCATAACCCGTCCGAATTTTGCTAGACTAAAACAGCCTGTGTTCCCAGCAGACTACTTTACGACACCGAATATAGCGTTCTCGGGAGATTTTTTTCGTTTGTTTTCTCTTGTGATTAGCGGATGAACGACTATTGTGTGGATTTTTTCGTGAGGACCGGACGTACTTACGGTTACCCCCTCTTAGCTAGCATATATGCTAAGCTTGACTTTGAATGGTCTCCTATTTACTTTTCAATCAAGGTCTCTTAGGTATACGGTATACATGATTCAGTTCCTACATATGTAACGAAATCCAACAGATATTCATGAATAGTATTAGCTGTGTCCTTCCAACGGTTTACCGCCTCGTCGTAGCTGGGAGGTGCTCCTAGGTGTCGGGCTGCGATGTACAGTGGGGTGATCCAATCCCCGGCAGAGTTTCACAAGGTGAGAGGAAGCCCGGCGTTTCCATCAGGAAGCCTTGCTAAGAGTAAACTAATACCAGGATCCACCACCATTCTGGTATCAAAATAGTCGCACGTTGGTAAATCTTCTGATCCACAAAGGCAACGAATGACTGTGGTGGTGACGACCTCAGGCTGACTGGTCAGGCTGATCTCGGGATTCCAGCGAACCTATCCAGCGAAGAAAGGCCATCTAAATGTGCAAGTAAGTAATTAGGTGTATACGTAAAAGCAAGCATTTCTTGTACAACAGGTACGGGAACACTACCGACAGAATCCATCCATTATGCAACCTAAGCACACTGCAGTAATCTTCAGTCCCTTCACTTAAGGGAGATTCGCGGCAGCTCATTCATATATGGTAGCTACGCAGTAAAAACAACTTCACATTGTCGAAAATCAAAAAGGACGACTACAAACGAGAAAAGAACAGGTGAGCGTTGAATAACTAAACATGAACTATACTTTGCTACAGAATCCTCAATTATGAATGTTTGAATAACTGGAGCAGGAGTGCTCCGACCGAAGTTTGATATGTGGATCACATTTGGATTGACACAAATAAATGATATTTACTTCGCATGATTCCAAACGATAACATCTAGTTATTAGCACATATCCTAAACAGGTTATCATGTTATTCATCACTAATAAGCAAGTTCAGTCTTATATCAAAAATAAGTGTAAAAAACCCAGTTAACCAGAAAACAGAACTACAACGTTAGGCGAACTTCTAACTACTAACCAAAAAATCAATAGGTATACCAAGCATGGTGTGATTACGACCGTATACCTAACGAATAATCACAATACTACATTCACTTCTAAACAAAATTCAACTATACAGAGCCGCAAATAATCCCATAAACACCAAAAAGCAGGACAAAAAGTGAACACCATAGAGACAGAAGATTAACCACACTTTATCTACTACTTCGTCACCATTCTATCCATTGTGGTATGATCCAGCTCTAAAATTCCTTCACTTATCACAAAAAAACTTAACAGTTTAAAGCTCACTACTCTACTTAGTTCTCAACAGTTTACAGAAACAAGTACTTATGAGTTCAGGAGAAAAAAGGACTCAGATAAACTGCCCATACAGAACTTTGTTTGGAATCTTCTCCTCAGACAGAAATCGTACACGGTCTAGTCTACGGTTCCAAATTAGACAAATAAGCTACAAACATTTCTAAATGTCTCTTCCCATGAATCATTCTGAAGGTAAGCACAAACTCTGTTATCGTTATCTAATATATGGATACGGACGACAACGGTACCTCCGTCAAAAAGGCAGAGTTATCCACACTTTTAAACCAATCTCTTACCAATTGTTAACGTATCATTTGTATAACCTGTACAAATTCTTAGTTCTTATGTCGTACAACACAGTACCGTTGATGTTGACCACATAAAGTTTGAATAATAAGTGCATTGTCACTAACAGATTTCCCAGTATGCTGCATGAACATGTAGGTGTGTACTCTATATAGAGATCGAATATAAAACAGATATAGAATGGTAAGACGTATGAAGACGTTGTGGGGCAGTCAGTTCCGCCGTCGACTCCGTTCACCCTGAATACAGTGATTAAAGACGACCAAGCCAATCAATCAACAGATCGACAACAACTAAGGACAGTACCAAACTACTTATTTAGTCGGACATTTTAGAATAAACATAAAAAATCCAAGCATTGAACAAAAAGTTTTAATAATGAGAAAGCCTTATGTATGCTATGCTGCAACATCCCCGGTTTTTTCAGCTCTACTTTCCATTCTAACACTATTAACTTCCGAATACAGAACCTAGAAATGACAAAAAAACGCTAATTGTTTTGACTTTCTTACTTACTGCCTTTTACTAGCTTTCACAGCAGCGTATTATTTGTGAAACAACCACAATGATGCTGAGATAATTGCAAAACTCTGGACCGCAGGTGTCTGCGGTGGGGAACGAACGCGCTAATGTCCTTTCCGGGGAGTAACGCGCTCACCACCACACCATGCTGGTCCTTCGTTTCGCCTGTCTCTCAGCTAGTTCTATCGATCACTGCCATCAGCAATCACTCGTTGTTTTATTTTTGCAAAGTGAAAGACTTTGTTACCAAATTAAAGACCACGAAAGGACGGAAAGCTGGCGTTCAATAGTTGAATTATGAACTACGCACGCGTAAAAAGCGCCTAATGGAGCTGCTCAACTTCAATTACCACTACCTAATTGATAGCACTTTCTTAAATATTATAACAATGAAAGTTAAAATCAAATTAACTAGGATGAATAGAATAGGACGCATACCCTCATGTCATTAACACATGCCATACACACACGCGGTCTATTTGAGTGATCGAATGGACATGTGGACTTGTTGCAGGTGATGTCGTATCGGCACTGTCCGTGCGAATAAATACACTTGGGACCCGGACAATTCGGGAAGTTTCTAAATAATCCGAAAGAAAAAAACATGCAGTTCTATACAAAGGATGTAAGACCTAGCAAATTCAACAAGGTCCCAATGGTCAAAAACTGCCTTTAACAACTAGAGATGCTTTTCGAATCCAGAGGAATAACTAACGCAGAATTTTACACAGGGAAAGAAATCTTGGACAAACAAACTTGCACTTAACAGCTGCACCATGGGGACATCGACCAACTCCACGCAACGCGACTGCATCGCTTGACGATCCTCTTGCCTTGGACGTGTGGTCGTACACTCTTTTCTTCAGCACTTCCTTAAACTCACATCATTACTCTTCTGTCCCTTTCAAGTTAGTGTGAAGATCTTATACAATATATCAGCACCTCCTACTTGCCCTATTTGCAAGAAGCTTAGTTACAAGGCAAAAAAAAATTTTTTGAAACACGACGGCAAGCAGCTGCCTGTGGTGGAGATCTGGGCGCATATAAGCCGCTATAGCAGAATTCCATGGCAAACTATGCTCTACAAACACTCAAGACAAGACATTAAGGGATCTGAAAGGATGTATCCGCGACACGCCATAGAGACTGCTTCCGATTATTTACATTTAGTACCAGGTTAGTCTCTTAAAATGGTCTATGAATGGACCATAACTTTCATGTTCAGCTAAATGGCACAAGCCACATAGACTGCCCTTCAAGAAACTGGGAACAAGGATGCTATCAATCGGCAAATGAACGATGGGACGCATATTAACTCAGGTGAGAATATTTATTCACTTAATGTTTTCATTCACTTACTGCTCATCTCATCAACTCACAAAAAATTCGGGCGTCTCATTCCGCTATTCTACGCCCTATTCTTTCTTGTCGGATGGAAGTCAATATCAACTGTCGATCAGCAACACCAGCGACTAATTGTACTGAACTGCTTACGTTTTATAAACACTCAGAGGATTTCGTCTATAACGAGTGACCTTTTAATAGAATAGTTAGCGCAAACATCAATACACAGATAGGACGATAAGACAAGCAGAAACATAAAATCGGAAAATTGCGTCAAGCGAGATTACCCTATAAGGAAGCCTTTTACACAGGAATTAACTACTAGACTCGTGCAAAAATCGATCACATTTTCGTTAGTGTTCCTCATGAAATCGGATGAGTCCATTTTTCGTCGATGCCGTCTCATTTCCTTACACCGAATCAGATCATGACGTTTTCTGGACGATAATTCGCTACAACCCCAAAATAGAAAAGAATTTGAGTAATCCAGCGAGAAAAAAAAACAATCCGTATATGAGCCCAACCTCAGTAATACCTTATACAATCACAACCAGGCTAACAGCAAGGAACCGATGGAATACTATATATTACCGAGAGAGAACCGAAGCCGTTCCAAACAAGCTCTTCTTAACACAAACAACCGCCTAGTGTTCGTCAACCGAGAGCAAGGAACACTTGGAGGGAAAATTCATGACTTGGTCCTGCTAAGAGATACATCAAACGAAATGTCCTTGAACGTCAACTGAATCGGGCAGTGCAGGATTTTCGTCGGTACTAGCAACCAAGGATTTTCAAGGCCAATAAAGACGGAATAACATGAAATATCTTCGAGAGTACAACATTCTCTTATGAGCCCCCGTCGGTGAAGATGGGGTGAAATATATTTCCGGACGGAATTGATAACCGAGAGATTTTATATAAACCCTTTCCTATCTACAATGCCTCCACAATATCTAACCATTACCACTGGAACAACGCCAGTGAGCATCTTTTGGTCAGGATTCCAAGCAAAATCAGAAGACAGAGCTCTGGCACAGCCCCCTGACTAGTATCTCGATAGACCTTCTACGAGCTGGCAACTACCTACAAATACTCCCCTTGCAACATAAACGACCTTACAGAGTTCTGTACTAGCTTTTTCACGAAGAACATCCTCATAAGCACTTGTAAGTAATAACTCGGTTGGAGTTCAATATATGCAGAAACCCGGGTTTCGCAAGAAATATAAACGCAAACAGTCCCGAGATCATAGGGTTTTAACTGGAATACCATCATTTCCTTGTCCTAATTTTCCTTGACTATGAGAAAGCACCCGATTGGAGATGAACGTCCGTCTATCTTGATCATGTTATAGCTGAGACACCTTGCACAAAAACGCTTACTGGATGCAGAAATCATTTCATAATGACAACACAGCTCTTTTCGCAAACACTACTGCAGATGGCAAAGGAATATGAAACGGTGAGAAAACAGTGTAAGAGCCATTCACTTGCGAACTGCAGAGCATGAAGACATTCGATTGCACTGCCGACGATATTCTCATGTCGCAATCCCACGACCGACTTTCTTTTAACTTCGGCATTGATTGATAATTCGATGTTTTCTTCAATAAGCAGACACGAGGTTGTTATAATAGGGTTTATTAGGATACAATAGCTGACGTTTCGGCGGTTTCGTCTTCTTCAGAGCCTGGAAAGGTCAAATTGAGATGCGATCTACCCAGCCAAACACTTTCATAACCCTAGCGGATAAAACTTAACAAATAAATTCGTGTTCGCATAAGAAACAGTTTCATTTAAACACCTACCGTTTATTTGTTGTAAGTATCTAAGTCAGTTGATGGATAGCAGGCGCACAGAGTAATACATGGGCAATAACTGTGTCTGTGTCAGATCATTGGATTAGCCCGAGGTATGGCGCCAGGTCACCCATGATGACAAGACACTCCTCCTTGCGGTTAATTTTTGAATTTTTGGAGTTGATCCAAAGCGCTTCAAGAGTTTTACGCACTGATGTTTTCGATTCCTGCATGGGGGTAGTGGCTCCCACTTCAAAATCTTCTCCGTTGTGTTCCTGCATCCTATGCACGCCTAGTGAAGTTTGGTTTTAATTTAGATTTACCGATTAGGTGTTCTTTTAAGCGGAAGCAGAGCCGATTGCCAACCCTATACTTACAACAAATAAACGGTAGGTGTTTGAATGAAGCTGTTTCTTATGCGAATACAAATTTATTCGTTAAGTTTTATCCGCTAGGGTTATGAAAGTGTTTGGCTGGGTAGATCGCATCTCAATTTGACCTTTCCAGGCTCTGAAGAAGACGAAACCGTCGAAACGTCAGCTATTGTATCCTAATAAACCCTATTATAACAACCTCGTGTCTGCTTATTGAAGAAAAACATCGAATTCTCATGTCGAATTGGGAATCAGACTAAATGATAACGTTTACGGGCATAGTAAAAAAGGGTGAAATTTTTGGATAACAAATACGCCGAGAAAGATTCAATTCGTTCAGAATGGATGTTGTGAAGACGACAAGTCTATCGTAGGTTGATCACCGATTGAAGAGATCATACCAGAAATGGAACGTCCGAAGAATATGAACAACTAATTGGGAGAAGAACTCAGTAGAAGGAAATAAACACAATTTGCCGCCTTCAGGACCAAAATAAATAGCTCTAACCGCCTTTCAGATTCCGACCTACGAGCTCATCCATTTGAATCGACAGATTCTCCAGTTCGCGAAGCAGGCTTTAAAATAGATAGGCTAAGTATTCTTTGCATTTGTTACTCAGATAAACCAACAGCATTCATAGCTGGAATAAACATTCAAAGCACCGAACGTCACACATGGACCAAACTACCTCTACTTCTATGAAATAAGTAGCATATATATATATATATATACATATGTATAAACATACACGTATGTAAACATATGTAGAACATAAACGTTTTTGTTTTAAAAACCTCATCATAAAGATCACTTCCTCGCGACTTTCGTTGGTTGTTAATACCGTTTTACATTTGAAAAATTAACCTATTGGATAGTAACAAAGAATCGTTCCGTGGTGTTGACTACTACTGCTATTTTTTTGCTATATCAACCAATGAACTGATTGTTCTAACTTTTAACCAAAAGTTACAAACAGTCGATATAGTCGATGGCAATCACTTTTATGGACAAATCTAAAGGTCATATGAAGAGATACTAAGCTCTAAGTGGCTTCTGCTCACCTTGTATACATGGTCACGAAACTCGTCCCATTCCGACTTGTCAAGCTTCTCAGCTGTACCACCGAACACTTGTTCGCAATAGTAACATTCGGCGTCTTGCGTCGGATGTCGAAATAACATGTGTGCAGCTAGCTTCGTCACAGAAATGGCATTCTGTAATTAACTGTTCGATAAATCCCTTACTTTTAACAAAGATGATGAGTGTGACGTTCTTCGTGTAAAAACCATAACTATGTATATGCCATCACATGAGTAAGGTACCAACTCTAGCAACATAGACTTCTACTTACCTTCTTATTAACACTGTAACTACAAATGAAGAAAATGGGTCACCTTATCGCAATGAGCGCACGGAATTTTCATATCATGCGCACGAATCTCATGTTCAGCCAACTCCTTGATAGTATAGAAACCACGGCGACACTGTTTACAGGAGTACGGACATTCATCTTCTGGCAGGAAAAAACTGAAAATATTAGACGGTGTACGGTATGATGTTCAAAATATGCGGTATTGCTCAACGAGATAACTGACTCAAAACCATCATAGGTTCCCCGACTGGATGAACTGGAACTACGCGCACGCTTTCGAGGAGGTGTTCGACGGCGTCGGCGACTTGATCTTCGCCGCAACGATCTGCTGAATGGACAAACATCACTGAACTTCAGACAATGTGCCATTTTATAATACGAACACTATATCATTTAACGACGGATCAGGGGCCGAACGAGTGTTTTGTTGCATCATCATACCCCTATGGCAGATGAGGACGATTAAACTACCATAAAAACCAGTGAAATGGCGCCACAATAATTCGACAGAATACCACTTTAATCATTCTAATTGAAGATCTTTTCGAATGGTAGTGCTGTAATCTAGTTGTGAAACCATACAAGAACGATGACATTCAGAATATTAGAATGTTAGAAATGCTTAGAATGTAGATTACTGGAAACACGTAACAGCAACACATTTTGCTTTCGACTGTAAGAGAGCCCAGATGCATATTACGAAGACTAGGAGGAAGTCTTGGATGACACTTCTTGATCTATTTCTTTGAAGGATTCCAAGCACAAAACAGCTAATGCACCAGAATCTCGTCCCTGTGATAAAATCAGAAAGACATTTATTTGCTATGAAATTCATCCAATCATCTTTAAACCGCTACCAAATACATGCAATGCATGGTTGGAGCACTTGAAGCTACGTATCGTAACAGAAGAAAAAGCGATGAAATTAAATTAGAATTATTTCGCCGTGTTCGGGACACAACACGATTCAAAAAATTGCTTATCGATAAGCACATATGTAACCGTGTGCATTCATTCCAACTCATGTTCTTTCCGGTTGTTCAATTTGATGCAGAGTTGTTTTGCGAAGTTCTTCCTATTCAGGCGATAGCTTGTCCAATACACATGCGGTAGAAAGGTTTCTCGAAAGGTTATTCTCCACATTTAACATCTACAGAGAACCTTACGTTGGAAGGCAAAGCACGCATAGGTAAAACTGAGCTCTAACTACATATGGCATAAAAACGTTTACAGATACGCCTATGTGTATCGCATCATGCAAAATAACACACCTCCTACTCCGACTGCTTCGCGACGAGTCACTATCACTACTGCTTGAACTCGTCCTGGTGTGTTTCCTTCGTTTCTTCTTCGACAACGAGCGATCCTTACTGTGCTGGGACTGTTGAGTCGTTGATTTCCTTTCCTTCGCTTTTGAAAGGGAACTCGCTACGTGTCGCATTACATTTTGCACTATCTACAACATGACACCATAATTGGATTATCCAGCTTATATGAAGCCCTTTTGTAGCAAAATTAATTCCCCAAACTTTTTTCACTCATTTTTTTCCCAGTTTAGTCATCAGATTATCAAGTCAGTTGTTAGATATATACAAAGGCAGCAAAACGAACACATTATATGTCTATTAATAACATCAAAGAGCTATTATTTAGATAATTGGATAGGCCGTCTTCACTGGTTGTGTGGGTCCAGCATAATTTCCGTCTTTTTGAAGTTTTGCTGGTATAGCCACTGTGGTTCCCTGGAGTCCCTAATGCAGCTTGACCAAATTCTGCCCCAGGTTGTCACCACCACGGGCAGTCGCCGCCTTTGTGGATCAGAGGGAGATTTGCCAACATGCGACTAGTTTGATACTAGAACGGTGGTGAATCCTGGTACTGGTTTACTTTTAGCTTAGCTTCCTGATGGAAACGCCAGACTCCTTCTCAGCTTGGGAAGCCCTGCCGGAGATTGAAACCCCGCTGTACGTTGCAACCCGACACCCAGGAACAAATCTCAGCCAAGATCAGGCAGTGAACAGTTGGGACGATTCATTTATATAAGCGCTATTAAAGTGTAAAGAACTCGTGGACGCATGAAATCAGTCAGTGCTTTCGTGAATGTGAACCTGGACAACTACAAACGCGTTTAAACGTGAATTGGAAGATTTTCATACGACTAGCGCCCTAACGTTAACTACGAGAAACTTTCCAAATGCAACTTGTACACTTCGAATCAATCCAATCTAACCGATGGCTCTGATTTTACAAAGATGGTTTTTCCATGACTTCATTCTAGAAATTTCAGTGAAAAAATTTAACGGTCTATGTAGACTTACTAACATGTCCCATTTAAAGCACAATATATGGCTCATGTAGAATCATTTGAAGCGAATTTTCAATGAGGGACCTGTTTTCAACCAAACTTAGTTGTCTTTGATTCGCTAAATATTTTAGGACAAGAAAAACAAGCTGACTGAAAACTATAAAAGTGAAATCATTGTTAACGATAAAACAAAAACTAACAGTAGTAAAAGCGATAAGAAAAATATCAATATTTATGTTAGGTATTTAAAAATTGAATAGCTAAATTTTGATGGACCGCCTTTACGAATTGCACAGTCTCGAGCGCATCTTCCAATAGTTTCTTTTTCCCACGCTTTCTCATCACAGTAGTTAATTGGTCCACCTCAGTAGAAAAATCCCTTCGAGGTCAACGTATCTTGTGGATTCATCTGTCGTCAACCCGTCGCATATCTACTGATCCATCTCTTTCACTATCGATGTATACTTCTGTGAATCTTAAAGACTACGAAGTTTCTATAAGGTATGAACTGCGTAAATCAGCTCGATATTGTATGTGTTGACCGTAGTTTAAAAAACGTTACTTAAGTTCTTTGTGAGTATAACACAAAATTCTCCACCTGATGAGATGTCAACTTATGTGTTTGGTGTATAGCAGAGCGCTCGGAGCAACGCTAGCAATGAAAGCGGTGAGCGCAGTGTTTTGAATGCTGCTTTCCTCTTCTTAACCCTTCTTGATGTCGTCTTCCAATGAACATCCCAGATACATGTATGATGAAGTTTCTATTAAAAAGGATAATGCTCTCAGTGCTGTTCAATCCCTCAGGGATACATCATGCATTCGATTTCATTAAGCGTCGTTAGAGGTGAATAAATACGTATCCGGCTTTAACAATGACTCGCAGTAGCCTACCGATGTATCGAGTCAGTGCTGCTATTTTCCGAGAGAACTGTGATACCAATCTACGACGCCAGAGGAACACAGGACTTGGTGAGTCTGCGCGGGGTATCGATCCCATTTGTATTACAGGACGGCTCTAACCAATGCGCCACACGCCCCACATGAGGAAGTTTCTATACGCACAAAAAACCTAACAATCCCGACTTGTTTTCACCGCAGCAATGACTTTTCATGGAGTGGTTTTCTTCCAGTTTATACACCGTGCCCTTTGCCATTTGGATGAGCTTCTTGAGAATCATCTTTGCAGAACCGTCGTTCCTCGAAAAGATAAAGATGTCTTAGAAAAGTTTGATAGAAAAAAATAAAGCGAAAGTTTGATAAGTATTGTCAATGAATACGTACACAATTGTTATCGTTACTGAAAAACTTGTTTCTTACAATGAGTGAACAACTACTGGAAGAAAATGTCCCACTGTCTACTCTAAAAACAATGAAAAACAAGAATTACGACTGAACATTATCAAAAGCAAAAACAGCGATTATTTCATCAACAACACATTGAACGAACACTCATTAGTTACACTCTGGACACCAGCGTTAATCGTTCATATAAGAAGGGTGAAATTTGAATACTGATAGATTTCAGATTAACGGTGCACTGAAGGAATCTTATCCGCTCAATCTTACGAATAACTTGCATTGAAAACGCTAATTTCTAAATGCTTTTATTCAAAATAAGCAATACAAGCCCGACTTAAGCATGGGTATTCTACAGCGTCAAAACTAAAATAATCGTCGACCTTCTGTAGCCATCCATACACCGTTAGTAAGTTTGCTAAGCAAATCCTACTTTTCACTGAACTGTAAGATAATTTGAAGACTAAACAATAGGACTTTGGAAAAAAGAACTTCAACCTCTATCTTTTTACTTTTGCGTCTAGTACACGACGAAGATTTCGACCGTTCGATTTTCATTCTTTTCATTTAGAAAAGAATAAAAGAGTGCGTGTGTGGCGCATTGGACACAGGCGCATCGCAACAGACACAGTCGTTGGTTCGATCACATGCTCCACGTAAGCAAAACTCTCATCCTCCGGAGTCGTCAAATTCGTACCAAACGTGTCTTGACGAAAAAAAACATTGACTTAATACAAGGCTAGGTCACTAAAAGTCACTGTAAAGACCAAATGTGCATTCAATTACCTCTACTTCTACAGAGAGGAGAAGAATCGTCTCAAGACAGTGGACTTCAACTATTTTAATTTCATTAAATAGCTAGATTTAACAAGCAAACAGTTTTTCTTTTCTGCAAATGCAGGAGCGCGTGTAGCGCAGTGGTTACAGACGCCCTACAATATAAATAGGAACGATCCTCGCTTCCCAGGCCAACTAAACCCTCCACTCTTCCCAAATCGGCAAAATTAGTACCAGACCTGTCTGGAAGTATATCGGCACAGACTAGATACATTGATAGGCCACCATGAGTCATTTTATAGGCCAGAAATGCATTGAATCACCTCTAACGATGCTTAATAAAGCTGAATAGATTCCGCATCCCTCAGGGATTGATCAACAGTGAAAGCCAACAAAGAAACACACCAGACACACATACATATACATACATACATACATACACCAGTTCGGCAACCACCTAGGATTCCTAATGTTCAAAGTGGATACTGATGATCATCTGTTGTGAGCAGTATTTTAGTGCCCACACTACGAGTATTTCCCGAGAGAATGAATTACGGTGATCTAGCATGATTTCTAGGCAGTTCACCGTAAGCAAACATAAACAGCAGAAGCATAACTAAAGGACAAACATAAAGCTCTTTTCCTATTCTTTTTAAAGTAACAACTTTAAGATGTCCTTAAAGACAGTCATTTTTTCAACCTACCGTTGCGAAACAGGACATGAAATTTGTAAATTCTTAAGCATTTTCGTGAAATTTCCATGTTCAGTAAGGAAGAAATCAACAAGCCCTACAACTTAAGAAAACTTTTTGCTCATCGACCTACATGAAATATAACCAAAACATCAATCCTAACCCGTTCAGAAAAACAATCACAGCAAACCTCATTTGGCGGATGGGACACGACGTTGCCATTATTGTCGTCGTTATTGTTGCTGATGCTGTTGTTCGACTTATCTGTAGTCGCCGTATGGTCATCACCTTCACCATCA